GAATGGTGCTTGGCGTCCGCAGCCTCCCGCGGGCTAAGCAGCTAGAGGAGCGATTCGCGATCACGGATGCTTTGGAGTCTATGATTGGCGGTTGAGGGAGCGGGCTGCGCCCATTCCGTGGCTCATCATTCCTATTCCTGGATTTGTATCCCTCGTCGTCACTCTTTAAGCGTCCCTGACAAGTCATTCCATGAATTGACTGAGTCGAGGCGCCTTCAGGACCTTTTCAACACCCCTGTGGCTGTTGTAATGAGTCCTCCCTTGTCTTGACCCTTGTCTCTCGCCTGGCAATCTCTTGGTTGTCTCACAGTTGCACAACATGCACATGGCAGACCTCTCGGAGCTTTGCTTGGGTCGCAGAGAGGACACCCTCTTTGTCCCTGCGACGTGTTTCTCGATCCCTCCTCCTTCAGGATCGAGATAGATCTATCCATCTCTATCCCACCACCCTCTACACCCAACTGACTCGACATCGCATCGACCATGTGGTGCTTAGCCAGCCATCAGCTACGACGGACGCCGTGAGACTGGCATTCCCAAAACAGGCGCGGCCAATGGTCGTGTGGACATTGCCTCCGTCATCCCGTCACCGACTCTCCGCCTAATCCCGGTCACCACCCACTCAGCGCGCCTCGGCTCCCCACGCGTGCCAGACAGGGCTACCGGATCAGGGCTTATTCAATCAATAACCACTGTAGAACTAACTAGTTACCGGCCGAACAGCATATTGCCGCTGCTCGATTCGCTCCCGCCCGCCACAGCCTTGCTTTTGCCTGTTTGCCTGGTTCAGGACGTCTTGGCTCAGGTGGAACTCGACAAGGACCCCTCCATCCACTCCATCCCATCCCACGCAGGGCAGCAGCGCGCAACACCAGCTACGGCATTGGATCTTCAATCACTGGCTCTCTATTCGTAGAAGCTACCGCAGGCTACCGGCTGGCTTCGATCACGCTCCAGACGTCGACAAGCGCTAGCCTCGTGTCGTGTCGTTGGGTCACTGTGCGTACCCCCTGAGGCCTCTCTCCGTCCCCAATAGCTCCCAATCGCATGCGCCATCGCATTCTATTCTCGCCGCCACGAGGAGCATCCCATCCCCATCCATCCCATCCCACGAACACTCCCACTCCCGCCCCGCCATGCCCCGACACACCACCTCCTCCCGTAGCAGGAGCACCAACAGCCGCCAGTCCTCCTCGTCGTCTTCCTCGGCCCAGGTTAGCCAGGCCAGGGCTGATGACTCCCATCTGCAGCAGGACGTCGCCCTCCAGCCCCTAACCTCCACGTCCTCCTCCACTGCCCGGCCCACTGTCTCACCCTCGCACGCCTGGGGGGCACCCTACCCGCCTGATCCGTCTCTCGATCAAGGTCAAGGCCATGTATTGCCGCCGTACCAGGCTCCGGCCGTTGGCGATTCACAGACACTATTAACTACCGCCGCCGCCGCCGCCGCCCCGGCCGTTGCTCCTTCCCCCGTCCTCGTCCGCGACCAACATGCCGGCCAGCCCTTGCCCGTTTCACAACTTGAACCTCCTGTCGCCGCCGTAACTCCTGCCATTGAGCTTCAGCCTTTCGTTGCTGTTACTGCTGCCGCCGCCGACGACGACCCAGATCAAGAAGCCCTAGATGCCTCTGACCTTGGCTTCCTTGCTCCTCAAACAACCGAGGGCACGTTAGATATGGCTTCCAAGAAGACGCCCTTCCTACGCTCGGCCGCCACCAGGCCCGACGCTGCTCCTTACGGGTCCGTCTCGCTAACACCCAGTCGCAACAATTCGCCAGCTGGTAGTGATCGCTGGGATCCTGACGCCCACCAGCTTCGACATGTCCCCGACACCATGCGAAGCGAAACCTCTCGTACTTCTCGAACCTCTCGCCGTTCCACCCTTACCAAGCAGTCCTCGTCGAGGTTGTCGGAAGAGATAGATTCTGCTGTTCTTGTGTCTGGCCTCGAGGGCCGTCTGGGCGTGGCCGAGCCTGCGCCTGCTGGTGTTCTAGAAGAAAGTATGAAGGACGACTATTCTGAAGACGGTGCCTTGCTCGACGACGCTTCCTCGACTGCCTCAGAAAGCGAATACCAGGAAAACTCGCCCCATGAAGCTGTTCGCGCCTCAGTTCCTCCCACCGACAACACTGCCCTCTCCATCAACACGCCGCGCATGTGGTGTCTCTCTGTCCTCTTTTCTATTCTCGGTTCCTCTACCAATCTCTTCTTCTCATTAAGATACCCCAGTGTTGCTATTACTCCAGTTATTGCTTTGCTTCTTGTCCACCCCCTCGGACATCTTTGGGATTTCCTATTAAAGCGCCCTTACGACCCTGAAGAAGAGTTTGTCGATGGCGTCCGGACGACGTCTATTTCAGAGGATGGTCATATCCATCATAAGACGAAAATGATTACATCCTGGCGACGATGGCTCGCTCAGGGGCGATGGAACGAAAAGGAGCATACTTGTGTGTACGTCAGCAGCAACGTCGCCTTTGGTTTCGCCTTTGCGACAGATGTCATTGTCGAGCAGACTCAGTTCTACAACCAGGAGGCTCCAATTGTTTACCAGCTGCTCCTCACCATCTCGACCCAGATCCTTGGATATGGATTTGCTGGTTTGACGCGCCGCTTCCTCGTTCGACCGAGCGGTATGATCTGGCCTGGCACCCTCATGTCGGCTGCCATGTTTTCGACGCTCCACAAACAGGAGAATAAGCCTGCTGGAGGCTGGACCATCAGCAGGTGGAAGTTCTTCTACATTGTTTGGACAGTTTCGTTCCTGTTCTACTTCCTCCCTGGCCTGCTGATGCCAGCTCTGAGCTACTTCAACGTCATTACATGGTTTGCTCCCAAGAACGTTGTCATTGCCAACCTCTTTGGCGTTTCGTCAGGTCTTGGATTGTTCCCCTTGACTTTTGACTGGGCCCAGGTCACCTATGTCGGCTCTCCCCTGCTGGTCCCATTCTGGGCTGCCATGAACGTCATTGGAGGTTTGACTATTGTCATGTGGATTATTGCTCCAATCCTCTACTACGCCAACGTCCTGTACTCGTCTTATATGCCAATCCTATCCGCTGCCGTGTTTGACAACACAGGAAAGGTGTACGATGTGAGCAAGATCCTCACCCCGGACTTCCTCTTCAATCGAGAGGCGTATCAGAACTACAGCCGCGTCTTCCTTCCCATCACCTACGTGCTCAGCTACGGCGTTCAGTTTGCGGGTCTGGCTGCTCTCCTGACACACACGGCATGCTGGCACGGTGCGGATATCTGGAGATCTTGGAAGAAGGCGTTGGAAGAGGCTCGCGAGGAGGGAAAGCCAGCATACCAACCAGTGGCGGACTCACCAGGGGCGCCCCCGTCTCGACAGTCAACCGACGATGAGTATGGGCGAATGTCTTCGTCTACGTCCCACGTTGATGGCCTCATCAGCCGTGAGGATATCCACAGCAAGCTTATGAAGAAGTACAAAGATGCGCCATTGAGCTGGTACTTGATAACATTCCTATCCATGACTGCTATTGGCATTTTCGTGGTCGAATAGTAAGTTGCCCCCTGGATTCACGTGTAGTAACCAGCTAACACTCTCAGTTATCCTGTCCATCTCCCATGGTATGGACTTCTCCTCGCACTCGCAATTGGAGCCATCTTCTTCATCCCCAACGGTATCATCATGGCTGTCACGAACCAGCACAGCAGCATCTACCTCATATGCCAGCTCATCTGTGGTGTCGTCTTCCCTGGCCGACCCATCGCAAACATGGTATTCGTCACGTATGGCTACATCTCATCAGCCCAGGGTATCAAGTTTGCGTCTGATCTCAAGCTGGGCCACTACATGAAGATCCCGCCCCGTATTCTCTTCTCCGTCCAGCTCGTGGCGACGCTCGTTTCCTCCCTAACGCAGATTGGCGTTCTCAACTGGATGTTTACCAATATCAAGGGCATCTGTACCTCGGAGGCTATCAATGGTTTCACCTGCCCCATTGCTAGAGTTCACTTCAACGGCTCTATTCTCTGGGGCGTTGTTGGTCCCAACGAGTTCTTTGGCCCCAAGGCCATCTACCGCGCTTTGGTCTGGTTCTTCCCTCTCGGCGCCCTCCTCCCTATTCCCCTCTGGCTCTACAGCCGACACAAGCGCCAGAGCATCCTCCGCAAGGTCAACCTCCCCGTCATCTTTGGTGCCATGTCTTGGATTCCTCCCGCGACGGGTCTCAACTTTTCCGTCTGGGTACTCGTTTGCTACGTCTTCAACTACGTCATCAAGAACCGTCATAACGCCTGGTGGAGCAAGTACACCATGACTCTCAGCGCCGCTCTCGACTCTGGCCTTGCCTTTGGCATCGTCGTTGTCTTTTTCGGCTTCATCTACCCCGGCATCACCAAGAACCTCAAGTGGTGGGGCACCGAGGTGTACAAGCAGGGATGCGACTGGCAGGCTTGCTCGTATAATACTGTGCCGGAGGGCGAGCACTTTGGACCTGCTACGTGGTGATTTCTCAATGATTGGTTTTACGGTGTTTGGTTTGGGTTTTGTTACTCGGGAGACTACGGTCTGGACTGCATATAGAATCAGTTGAATACTCGGAACGTTTGCGACTTGAAATAGACTTTGCATGGTTATGAGCATGAACAGGGTATGGTTATTGGTTGGTTGTATGGCGATGCATAGGAAAGCACATCTTGCAAAAATGCGAGTGCCAACACAAGCTTAAAATTATAGCTGGTTTGATCAAGTTAGTTGATATCACATCACGTCCAAGACAAGATGATCTTGTTTACTCGATTCTCCGTCTATCAATTGTCCATGTTCCTCCCCTTCTTGGTTGTTGCGCTTGTACTTGTACTTGTACCGCAGACTACCTTAGTATACAGTGTATTAGGTCTGGCCTATGTTATGACCTACCCCATCCTGGACCGACACCCAAGCTCCGAAGAAGTTCAAACATTCTATTTCTCATTTTCCCACTCGGGGTTCTGTTGTTCAGTCAGCATATATTCTCTATAGTCTACGTCAGGGTGGGAAACAAACCTTCCGCAGAATCACCAAGCCCTCGAGGGTGCTGTTAAGGCTGATGTACTCCTCGTCCTCAAGCTCGGCACGCTCGCCATGTCCAAGCACCACGGGGGTGCTCTGAGTTTGCCAACCAGTGATGGTCTTGGGTCGTCCAGCCTGGCCGACAACATCGACGGCCTGACCAACGCGAACGTTGACCTTGAGGGGCTCGAGGTTCTCATCCAGGGTGACGAGGAAACGGGGGTGCATGGCGGTGACGAGGAAGTACAGGAGGTAGTGGGATTGAGAGGTGATGAAGTCCTTGGGCTCGATCATAGCAACGGTAGTGGCCAGGAGACCGGCGGCCGCGACACGGGACAAGACCTGGCGGTCTGTGTGGAAGGGGCTGATTGACAGAGTTCCCTTGCCCATGTGAAGGAGACCCTGTGCGATACGAACCATGAACAAGGCGTCTTGGTCGCGGTGGTAATAGCTGGCAAGCTGTCGTAGCAGCTGTGCCAGTCGGGCGTTGTTGGTACCGGCACCCAGGATACCCATGGCGAAGATGGCGTTGATGGCAACCTCGGGGTCATTGTCGTGGCTGTATCTTGAAAGAGTGTCGTAAACCTTCATCTGGGGGTTGCTTGGGCTGATCAGGCCCATGGCCAAGGGCACGGCTTTTCGGATGTTGGGCTCGCCGTAGTGCATGAGGTGGCCAAACTGTCGCAACACCATCTCCTGACCGATGTCCTCGCCCATGGCCACCAGGGCAATTCCGAGGACAGCGTAGGCCTGCAGGAGCTCGTCTCCCTTCTTCTCATCAGACTCCTCCTTGTGCTCATTGCAAATGTGGAGAAGCTCTTGGATCTTGAGGACGGCACCTGTGCCTGCCCAGGCGCAGATCTCGGCCATGACGGCTGTGGCCTCTGCCATGGGGTGCTCGATAGCCTTGAGGGTCTCAAGGATGACATCAACCTCTTCTTGTCGGCCAAAGAAGAGGAGGCCCAGGCCAAGAGCCAAGAATCGGGTCCACTTGTCCGTCAGTTGGCTCTTTCGGTCGTCATCCATCAATGTTGTAACGATGGCCTCGCTGATTTCAGGGTGCGAAGATCCGGTGAAGATGAGACCACAGCTAAGAGCAGCCATGGCCGAAATCTGCATGTCTTGGCTCGAATCCGAGATAATGGGCAGAAGGAGCTCGAGGACCACTTCCTTGTTGGAGCCGGCGTATGCGAGACCAAGACCCATAATACAAGCTGTTCGGATGAGGGGATCGGGGTTGTTTAGCTTGTCATTGTCACCCAGGATGGCCAGGGCAGGCTCAGCCTCCATCTGGACTCCCGAGTTGATGATACCAATGGCAAGCATGGCACCAGCCGAAATCTCCTTCTCGCTAGAATAAGTGTACTTGTCAATCTTGTCGAGACCGTTCTCAGTGTCCCACATCAAGAGAGTTCCCATGGATGCGACGGTAGACATCATACCGTCTGCCTTGGTCTTCCACACCCATGTCTCCTTCTCGCCGTCGATCAGCATCATCTTGTCGTTACCGAAGCCGGCGTTGACAAAGGCGTTGACGAACGCTGCGGCCAGGTTATGTCGGGCCGAGTCCAGGTTGGTCATTCCCGCTACTCGGCTGCTCTCGAGATGGCTCTTGTAGATATCCTCGGTGCTCTTGGGCTCGAGGATGTTAAGCTCTTTACCTAGTGACTTGAAGTGACTAGACAACTTGGAGTTGGAGAGGCACTCTGCGATTTCCTGGTCGTCCAATGTGTCCTCAGGATAGTCCAAAGCTATTCGCTGGCGGCCAATGAGAAATGCGAGTTGCTTCTTAAGAGCAGGGTCTTTGGCCTTCTGGAAGTCGTCCTTGATGAGTTCGACATCGTGGAGCCGAATCGCAAGAACCATGGCCTGGGCGAACTGCTTGTACTCCATGTAGATGTTGTGGGCGGTCTTGAGGAAGGTCTCGTTGTCGGGATAGGTGAGGAGGTTGACCATGCTGACCATGTAGAGGCACACTCGGGCGTACGTGTTCTCGTCGACGAAATGGGGAATCTCCTCGATGATCTCAAGTTCGCTCATGAGATCCACGGCATCAGCCTCGGCGTTGCTCTTCAGGAAGAGGGGGATCAAGTGCTGTGCGAGGTCGATCAGGTCCTTGACGGGCTCATCGTGCACAATGCGCTTGGCATACACCTCACCAATCTCCAGCGCCAAGTGCCTGGTGTACTCGTGGCCCCACGAGCCAATGTCGGAGGTGGGTGCTAGGAGGCGGTACTTGAGTGTGTCTTGTCGGTCCTCGTCCGAAAAGGTCATACCGATGACGGAGAGAACATCGGCCAGTGATGTCCTGTCATCGGTCGCGGGCCATTCTTCGTAGAGCTTTGTCAGAGTCTCGTAGTGTGGTCGCAGGAACTTCAAGGGCTTCGGCACTGCTGTCATGGATGATGTCGATGTCTTTATGGAGGTCTTCATCGCTTCCAGGGCGGGTTTGTAGAGAGACGAGTCAGACTCCTAGGTCAACATTAGCGCATGCGCTCTCGAATCCACGTCGAAAACTGACCGTCAAACGCTCGACCATCATGTCAAGCTCATTCTTGAGTTGCTGGTCCTCCTCGCTGAGCTCCTCCTCAGCGGCTAGGGCGTTGGTTAGCATAACATGGCATGGCCAACATGGCTGGGTCGCATACTCTCGATCTTGTCGTCCTCCTTCTTTCCATTCTCTTGCTGCTTATCCTTCTTCGCATCATCGACGGCCTTGCCCTTGCCCTTGTCCGCCGCCTTGGGCACTTCGCTATCCTGAGCCATGTTGACGTCGACGGCTTAGGCGCCTGGTATAGCTTCACAGAACAAGATTAAAAAGGACAAAAGGTCGAATAATGGTGCTTGAAGACTGCCTGAGCTGTGTCGCCGGTTACCGCTGGGGGTGATGTCGAATTACTGATGGGGTCGTGATCGCTGGTCGTCGTGGATGGAAGGTGATGGAGCCGGCTTGGTTAAGCTCGAGTGATGGAGGTGGGTGCTGGCTGAGGTGTGCAAGGTAGGCTAGGTAGCTCTGCTGGGTTACGCCAGGCACCTCTGCCTGGCCAGCCAGCCGCGCCGTCACGTGATGCCTAGGTGCGGGCCAGGCGGCAGGGGGGGGCAACGGAATCTATCAAAATTTCGAGGACCCCACCATTTGCGATAACATGTAAAGAATCAACCCCACGTTCAATTCAATATTGACCATTTATACCAACTTCTTGTGGAACAACAAGCAGACTTTTTCCCCAAGTTATTGAATTGAAACTGTCTGCCCATCATGAAGTTGGATACGAGGGCAATGCGCCACCTCGCCTCCGAGGACTGGCGAGTTTTGACAGCAGTACGCATCCAATCCATCAAGGTTTTGGCACTCATGATGCTCACACGAATAACTTAGGTCGAGATGGGAAGCAAAAACCACGAACTCGTCCCCACGCCTTTAATCGAAAAGATTTCGCGCCTCCGTGGCGGTGCCAGCGGTGTCCACAGAAGTATCTCTGCCCTCGCCAAAGTCGGCCTCATCGCTCGCGTAAAGGAAGCCAAGTACGATGGTTATCGTCTTACATACGGTGGCCTCGATTATCTTGCACTACACACCCACGCCAAGCGAAAGGATGTCTACAGTGTCGGAAATCGAATCGGAGTTGGAAAGGAGAGTGATATCATGGTTGTTGCAGACGAGACCGGCACTCAACGAGTCCTCAAGATCCATCGATTGGGCCGAATTTCCTTCCGAACCGTCAAGTCGAACCGAGACTACCTTAAGAACAGACAATCCGGATCTTGGATGTACCTGTCGAGGCTAGCAGCCATGAAGGAGTTTGCTTTCATGAAGGCCCTTCGCGAAGAGGGGTTTCCTGTACCCGAGCCCATCGCACAATCACGACATACCATCGTCATGTCATTGATAGATGCCTTTCCTCTCCGCCAAATCTCAGACGTCCCTGACCCCGCCTCTCTATACGCCGACCTGATCGGCCTCATCCTTCGCCTTGCGAAGCACGGCCTGATCCATGGCGATTTCAACGAGTTCAACATCCTGGTCAAGGAGGAGAGGGCCAAGTCTGAGGACGGCCAAGAAGTTGTCAACCTCGAACCCATCATCATTGACTTTCCCCAAATGGTCTCGATGGAACATCAAAATGCTGAGATGTATTTTGACCGAGATGTGAATTGCATAAAGCGCTTCTTCGAACGGCGCTTTCACTTCGTCACCACCCAACCCGGCCCCTTCTTCAAGAATGCCAAGAAGACGGTGGGCAAGGATGGCGTCAAGAGACTCGATGCCACCGTCGAGGCCTCTGGCTTTACCAAGAAGATGTTGAAGGACCTGGAGGCTGCCATCAAGGACAAGACAGAAACCAAGGAGCAGGCTGCCGACGACGAAGATGAAGATGACGAGGACGAGGAAGATGAGGACGAAGATGAGGACGAGGAGGGTGATGGCTCAAGCAATTCTGGGGGCCTACTTGGCGAGGACGCCAAAAATTCGCCCGACGAGGACGTCGAAGAGGGCATGTCTAAACTGGCAGTTTAACATGAATGAAATGCAATGATACCCATTTACACGTCACATATTGATCATGTCGCCTGTTCACCAATGACCTTGTCTACTCAGCTCAAGACTCATATTCACATATTTCGACAACGACAAAGGATTTAAAGAAGTCTAATTCGACATGATTAAGTATTCCGTCTTGCTCAACGCCGCCGTCGTCTGCTCTTCTGACACGAATGTCCCCGAATCTAAAGTACAAAAGCGCATGAAATGGAATCATGGCCCAAACTCGTCTAGAGTATCAGCTACCTCAGTCCATAAAATGTTACGCGATGCATAACTCTGTCTGTCTCAATCATCGAGCACGAAAGCCCCAAGGCTTGTCGGAAGAAATAAAAGCACAGCAAGGTTGCGACGACGTTGTCTAGAAACAACCATCAACAACCCACCCACCAGTAGGAAATCACTTCACCTCCTTCTTCGCTTCCTTCTTGGTCTCCTTCTTGATCTCCTTCTTGACAGACGGGGAAGAGTGGAGCGAGGCGTTGGCAATGACAGTGTCCGCGTGAATAGTGACGTTCTCATCACATTCGGACGATGTGGGTGTAGCAATCGCTTCGTCTAGGCTCGAGCTTGCGGCCGTCCTAATCAGAGTGTCAGAGAAAAGCCAGAAAAGCAGGGGAATCAGGGTGCATACTCCATTGACCGGCGCTGAGACGCAGATCGCCGGGTACCATTGCTCCCGTCAGACCCAGAGGTGTTGGTGGCAGAAGGAATTGCTCCGCTGGTCATGGTCAGCATCATGAAGGGAAAACAGAGCACAGGACTTACGACCGGGCACTAGAGTTGTTGGAGCGCTGATACTGTGACTGGTACGACGAGTACATGTGAGTATTCAGGCCAACCAGAGGGGTACCATAGGCTCCGATGTTGTACTCATTGGTTCGAAATTGACGACGCTCCGCGGTCACACGCTTCAGCTCCTTCTGAGCTGGGGTGTCGGCGTAGCGAATGTTCATAAGAAGACCTTCTTCACCAAGCGCAAGTCCGGTGAATCTCTCGATGATCTCGTCACAGACATCACGAGACTCAAATCTACAACGACATCAGCGATTGGGAGTGTGTCACGCCATCCAAATCTTACCGAGCAAATCCAACGCCGCGGCTGTTGCCCATGCTGTCTCGGAGAATCTTGCTGGACAAGATGGTGAATCCCAAGAAAATGGTTCCAAGCTCCTGCGAGCAGTTAGTGCTGTCTTCTCTCTTAGGATTGGGCACGCAACATACCACTTCTGTCAGTGACTTAGGGAGATTGGAGATGTAGAGGTTGGTAGAGGTGTCGTCGCCCTCGGCCTTGAGGCGAGAGTTGAAAGACTCCTGGAATCACATTAAGTCGAGTTCGTGGGGGCAAACAATCAAGCAAGGGATGACTTACGCGAGCAAAGCCAACTTCGTACCCAAGACGATGGAATCCGCGGATGCACATCTCGGAATCCGCAGAGCTGTAGAACTTGGCGAAGCCAAAACTAGAACCAGTCAGCAACCATCTAGAGGAGGCGTCAGGAAACTTGCCCCTTGCATGCTCCAGTGCCGGTATCAATGATGGCCTTGGAGGTCTCGACTGGGCCAAAGCGAGAAGCATAGTGGTACAACAGTTCATCATCGGTGGTGGGATGAAGACCTCGAATGTAGACGTTGCGGTTGCCAGGAATAGGGTTTTGGAGGCTCTGCTCCACACCCTTCATCTGAGCAGCGGGGGTAAAGACCGCGGGCACAGCCTTTGGGATGCTAGGCTTCTTCTCCAGCAGTTCATCCAGAGCGTGCTCAGACATGGGCGAAAGCTTGGACTTGGAAGCTTCCGCGTGGGCAGGCATCAATCCGAGCTGCTGGGGTGAAGGGGTGGTATAGGCCGATCGATCGAGGCTTGCAACTCGTGGGCCATTCTCCTGATGGGCAACACCACCCGCATAGAATGGCGTGGCAGGGGCCGACTCTGTAGTCGAGTAAGAATTGCGACGGTTCTCCAAGCCAGGGACTTCAGACTGCGTACGGTCGGCACGAGTATGAACTGCATTCGCGCGTCCAGGAGTGAAGGGCATCAGAGGAAGTTGCATCCCCATGTATGGGTTGGAGAAGGCTCCGTGGACGTAGTTGGTGTATCCATTCTCGTTGGAATGACCAAGCGGGATTGTCTGCGAACCTTGAACTGGTGCAAGAACGAAGTGGCCATCAGAGCCAAGCATGTATGGCGGGGCCATGTGGATGGGAGCAGTATGGGTGTTGGGCATGCCCATGCCACCCAGAGACATTCCTTGGAACTGGCTCAGGAGTCCGTTTGGGTCGCTGGACCCTGGAACGGCAAGATGGGAGTTGGGTCGTCTATCCTGTGGAGACGGGAGGTAGGACGCTGCAGTCTCCATGCTGATCGCTGAACGGAAACGATAAAGACTGAATGTCTGCAAACTTGGGGGTCAGCCAACTGATGGATGCCATGTGAACGGGTATGGAAACAAGGAGGAGTCTTCTTGAAAGCTCATGGGGAAAGAGAAGCACACCACCTGCGTGTGCGGCAAAGGGAATGGGCTGTGAGAGGGCGGGCAAGAGAAAGATGGGCAAGGGGAGCCAACATACCTCACAAACAACAGATCAGCTGCGAAAGAGCAGAGGAAAATGGCGAATGATCAAGCGGTATTGTAAAAATCTGGTCGCAGGTCCAAGTCAGCCAATCGAATCATCGATTACCAAGGGACAAGACGGTAGATGTGGTCAAAGAGGCACATGACAACGGTGCAATCGGTAGACGGAGGGCGATGCCTGGCGATAACAAAAGGATGATCGACCACGGCTCTCCCTCCCATCCAGACCAGACATGATGGAATGGCAGCCAACCGTAGACAGCCAGCGGAGGAGGAACTCACCTTGACCTCTTCAAAGAGCGCCAATACCTGACAGGACAGCGTGGATTCGAGTATGCCGAAGAGGGCAAATTTCGGGGTACCAAGACTTTGAGATGAAGCGAGAGTAAGTAAGATAGGACAAGCTATCGAGCAAGATGGGGTACAGAAGAGATTGTCGGGGTGATGGAGGAGGCTGCTGGAAGGGATCGGTGATGGAGCTGAGGTGATGCTGTGAAGCGGAAGAAGATGGAGAAGAAGAAGAGAGGAGAGGGAGAGAAGTCGGCCAAGATATGGGTGGGGGGACGAGGCCGGACGAGGCGAGCACATACCTAAGAGTGTGCCAAAATGTGATATTGGAAAGAGGTATCGGTGCAAAAGGAAGTCTCTCT